AAGACCCTATTTTACCACAAGGTATCGTTAAGAAGTTGGATTTTTCCGTAGCGCAGGTAATTATTCAGTTACAGCTGAGAAATTCGCAATATCTGCTAGGAGGGATATCAAAACAAGGATGCTGGGATACGGGACTCTTGAATATAATGTACGTCTTGACGTAGGTATAGCTACATTAAAAAAATATCTATTATAAAACGGGATGCTGTATTCTTTTAGGAGCGTACTGGCCATACGACCGACCGAACTTGAACGCTAATATCTACACTCTTAGTGGTCTTATTGAATAAATTAGAGCTTCAGTCCGTTTTTGAGCCCCCAAAACATTCAAATAGCCTACCTCCGCATTTCTCCCGATTTTATTGCGAGAAATTAATTTCATTGGGACAGGAAAGATAAATCCGAGCCAATTTGGCGGCTGAACGATGACAGATGGCTACATTTATGCCTAGTCCTTGTATGGGTCCTTCATCCCAATGCCTCCCAAGGGACCCTTTGATATTACGGTTGCAGTACCTCCCCGACGGACACGCTAGAGAACCCTGAAACACAGCACTGGGTCCTTAGCTAAAGTGGATCTTGGCTTTTAAGAAGTGTGGAAAGGCTAAAGGCGGCGGGATGGATCTCAAGCCTCCACATGGTCGCAGCCTTGACAACAGCTACCAATATATTTTTCTTGACGGTGATGCCAACGAACGACAGGGAAAATATTTTTTATTTGGTAAAGATGCTGCCCTGAACTACTTCATGCAGCTCGGTAAGACAATGAGATGTCCCTTAGTCTGCTGTGCTTTTAAAAGGCTAGTATTGCTGCTACCTTCCCGCTCTATCTGCCGTTTAATGACGGCAACTGATGAAAGCATGCTAGGCCAAAATATGAAGCTCAAAACATCGGACGCCCTGGCGGAGGTAATCGGTGTCAAATATCCTACGGAAGTTTGTAATGAAAGCGGTCATCCTGACGTTGGTGGACGGCCGAGGTCAAGTAGCTCGCGGGCGTGGAAATCGTGACAGACCTAGTAGTCGTGATGGCCGTGGCAATGGTGGACGTCGACGCAGTGACGGCACTGGATAAGGCTCTGGCCATGCCGCTGCCGATGTTAGTGTGCCAGATTCTGGTAGCAGATCCGCAGCCAAATGTAGAGATTGTATCTCTCGTTGGCACTTCCAGTGCCTCAACATACATCTAACTGCCTTCCAGAGTAGAGCGACGGACGTAGTTGGCCGGGGCTCCCAAGTCAATCAAGGGTCTTCACGGCTTCCCAAAACCCTTCACGCTCAGCTAAACGACCAGCAAGTCCGTCTAGCACACACTCTTCTCGTAAGCGAGTCCGGCTCTCTTCAGGGTTGAGCCCCGTTGCCCTATACCTCTTTGAGGCACAACAGAACTCAGCTGGCCCCCAGTAGGCCACCCCGCTCCTACTGAGAGTTACTGTTTCCCGGTGATGTCCCGGAATATTGGTTTGCCCTGCTCCTTGTGCTTCTTGCGCAGAGGGCACCAAATCTCAAGTGCTTAGTGCTATTCCTCACGAAGCATCGGCGGATGCCGGCGCGCCGCTCCACAGAAATTCCGCCTCTTTGTCTTCAGTATAGCTGAGGTCCATCGGCCCCGGACCGCTCGAAGGGCTCGCGCTTCCAGCGCTCCAATCAGGTCGAGCCGCCCTGAAGTTGTGATCGGCATTCAATGCCACATTTACCGCCTCTTCGAAAGAGTTGGGGTGTCCGCGGAATACTTCCATTCGAGCTGCGCTCACGCAAAGTCCCTCCATGAACACGATCACGGTTATCAGTTACGGAAGAGGGTCAGCCGCTATTCCGGCGATCAGAGCTCTTAATCCTCGGACATAGTCCAATAGTTGTTCTAACCCTGCCGGGTAGCAAGGAACTTCGACCGAATACGGTACGTCTGATTAGTGGCGGCGCGACCACGTGCGAAAGCGGCTGGTTTCAGGTAGGTGATGCAGCGTCAACATACGTGCGGCACGTTAGTGTCTATTCGCGAGTGCAATCTCCACACCGGAAGATAGCCTGCGCCACGCGCTGATGCTCAGACTGGAGCAGGGCCGATCCCATGGTCATTTCGACCTCATGGGTCTACAGAAGGATATTCCCACCTTCTCTTCCTTCGAAGGCTTTCATGCTCACCATGAGCGGCTTAGTCACATAGACTCGTCACGCATCATCGACGACGCCGCCGTTGCGGCGCTCATGATCTCTTGGGTGTGCTGCAAGAGCGCGTTGTCGTAGCGCGAGAACGATTCAAGTCTGGCGGTGACCGCCTCTGGACATTGTGATGCGAGATGAGCAACACCCTCCGATCCAAGCAAGGCCATAAGCTTAGTAAGCGCGTCCTGCTGCGTCAGGGGCAAAATCACGAGCACGGGGTGTTCCACCCTCGCAAAGGATACAGTCAACCGACTCAGGAGCGGGGTTGACTACAAGTACTACCAAGTGCAGCGGGGCTGCCGTAGCTTTAGAAGACGCTTGACTCAGAGAATCACTAATACTAAGTTCCTTATTCAAAGGACACTTACAGCCCACGACCGGGGCTTAAAGTGAATAGCGTCAATTTGTGTTTCAAAACCAGATGTGTTTTATTTACTTTTACAGCGGCCAAGCCGCCTAGGAATCGATTTAGCTATCTAGCACAGCTAAACCTATACAAAAGCATGACGTGTGGCTTTCAGCTAAAGTACTGATATGCCTCGCTGACTCTCCGACTTATGTACTCAGCGTTTGTTAACTCTCCGGGTACTCCGTACCTCTGTGTGTTCCACACCATGTAGCTCCGTTACACTTGGCATAATGCTGAGCTCTCGTCGAAAAATAATCTTCGCTGCTTCCTCGAACAGAAGTCGTTCAGATAGATAATAGAAGCGTCTTGAAAAGGCTTACACGATGATAAAGGCGTGTTCATAACGTATCCACGAATCAATAACACTTTGTGAAGTAAAGGCATGTGGTGTGTATACGACCGCAAGCACTGAGACTTTTGCGGATACATCAACAGTTTCTAGGAGAACCTGGGCAGACGAAAAGTAACCGATGATGCCTATGTGGCCAGAATGAAGCAAAAAGCGAAGATATTGGAGGAAACTTCTTACCAGCAATCATTCGTGAAGAGATTAAAGGCTGCTGGAATTGGTCAAGTATATACACATCCGTTTCAGCAATCAGCTGCTGTACAAGCTGATCCTGGAGCGTGTGAAGCTCCAGCAGCTTTTCTACATTCGGTTTCGGCAACAGGAACCGTCGAATACACCTACCAAAATTGGCAGCCGCACAGACGTTTAGATCACCGGCCAACACGGGGGCAATAGACAGTCTATTAAGTTGCGTAATGCAAGTGAGGGGGGACAACAGATGACTAGTGAAAAGCCAGCTACACGGTGTATCATACACCACATCGAAATCAGGATGCTAGGTCGCCCCAGAAACGCCAACGAAGACGGGGTGTCTTCACTGTCAGGGAGAGCACTGGTTAAGGGATTGTCCTACAGCCACCCACGTCGAAAAAGATAAATCACGAGCTCATACCGCCAAAAGTTGGAGAATCAAGCGATCTGTAGATAGTAAGCCAATGATCGAGCACGAGCCAGCGCAGCTGGAGGAACTGGGGTGTCTTAAAGATTTGGACGACGAAGAGTACACAGTTCTTATCAAACGATCAGTGGAAATTTCGATGTGCCTAGACACTGGTGCAGAAAAGTGTATTCTACCTGCAGCGGTAGTTCAACAAGGTCGAGTTTAGGTGTAACATTGGTGACAGCACCTCTCCCGGAGCCGGTTACGGTAATAGGAGTAGGTGGTAAGATAACCTGGAGTCACGAAACAGCTCAGACAGATCTGCAGATACGCACCTCAGCCGGCCCAGTCAACCTGTACAAACTAATTTGCCTAGTGGTCGCGGGAGAAGATCAGTTCCTGTTGAGCAAAAGGATAATGAAGCGCTTGGGAATTGACGTCAAGCGCGCTTTCGAGCAGCTAGTTAGCACCAGCATTGATCTAAACTATGATGATATACCAGAGGATCCAGAGGTGGGCGGTCTGGTTGAAGAAGAAATCAACAAGGAGATGGATCGGATGTGCAATGACGTGAGAGCGTTCTGAGTGACGTACGGTACGTGAATTTTCGCGAGGACGCTGTTAAGTTAAGCAAGAAGTTCGATCGTGTATATCGAGTTCGATCTGGTCTCGACAAGCCAGCACTGGTGGAAGCGCTGGTTGTCACGATAGTCAAGGGAGCGGAGCCGTACCGCCGTAAACCACGTAGATTTCCACCGTCACAGATCTATTTATACGTGGGACAGCTACTTAAATATGATTTTGTCAAGAAGAAGAACTTTAGCAATTGGGCCTCGAATGCTGTTAGCTTGCAATATTCTGCTGATTTGAGGCCTTATTTTCCAATCAGCCAAACGCCCGAATTCGGACGTTTAGCTGATACATTCTGCTGATTCGCGGGGAGCGCTTGTAAAAGTGCATTTTTACCGATTAATACTACACTACCTCTCCATGTAACAAGCACCTCCATGGTCGAGTCTTGTCGCTCTTGTTTCCTGTTCATGGGTGCGTAGTAAGCACTAGTGTCAAGGCAAGTAACGACAAGTGAAGCACTGCGGGTGGAGCTGCGCTGTGAGTCTGGAAGACGTCCAGCCAGAGTGAACATTCTCACCAGGGCTTCCGCACTGAACACTGCAGCTTGTGCGACTGATTTGCTGGTCCAAGCCGTTTTCGGCGAGGCCTTTCCCCGGTTTGACCTTCTCGCGTCAGCGACGGTCGAGGGCTCGCGCATATGCAGATTATGCTTGTTAGAAAGGAAGACATCAGTGGGGAGCACATGGCGGTCAAGTTTGCGTTGGCAGCTGCCACTTTGATCGTGAGTTCTGTCAGGCAGTGTGGTACATTTGTGGTACACAGGAAACGTGAGGCTGGGAGTTTATGACGGGGGTTTGGTAGAGATAAGCTGGGTTCTCACTCTATCTTTAGCACTAAACTACCTACTGCGTCAGACAGCCTATCGGCTTAACAGCCGTGTATTCAAAACCGGTGGACATTCTGACGAAGGCGCTGCCAGCGCCAAGGCTACACGAATTGAGAGCGCAGGTGAGTTTGTGCTGAGGCAGAGTAAAAATAGGCTCAACGGATCGCACGGAGCGGCGGTACCGACGAGGAGAGGTGTTTGAAAGGAAGACGTCAGTGGGAAGCACATGGCGGTCACGTTTGCATTGGCACCTGCCACTTTGATCGTGAGTTCTGTCAGGCAGTGTGGTACATTTGTGGTACACAGGAAACGTGAGGCTGGGAGTTTATGACGGGGGTTTGGTAGAGATAAGCTGGGTTCTCACTCTATCTTTAGCACTAAACTACCTACTACGTCAGACAACCTACCGGCCTAACGACCGTGCATTCAACCGGTTTTGAGCTCAATCAACGACGCCTTTGACGAGTCTAAGTATGGCGGTGCAGTTGCCCCGAAGACGACACCCGCTTCCGATCGCGCAAGGATCGGAATGGCAGATAACAATGAAGATCAGAGCACCACCTTCGAAAAGAAGCGAAGGTACCAACCTTGACGAGCACGCCTTGCCGCCAAGAACGACAACGCGTCCGAGCTCCTGGCACCCATGCGCGGCATCATAGGAAGCCTGGAGTAGCTTGAAAAGTCACAGACAAAGCTCGAGAGGAGACTCACCGCAGAAGATGGAGGAGAGGCGCCTATGACGCCACTCGCGAGCAACAGTCGCTTCGCGTCGAATCTCGGTCGCGGCGCAAGGATGCTTATCGACTCACCCGACAGGTTACCACGAGCGCCACTCGCGGACACACCGCGTAGGCCTGCACCGCCACCGAGGTACTTGACGCAGTAGCCGCCTGGGAACGGGATGCCACTATCGCACATACAGCGCTTGTTCGCTGCAGCACAAGCCGCACAGCACGCTGGACCCGCTCACGAACGGAAGCAGCCTCCAATGGCACGTGCATAAGGAGAGGGAGGCGGCTACTCGGGCGAACAGCTCAATCAGGCAATGGTGCGTTACCCAGATGTGGGTCAAAAGAAGTTGGGGATCTGACCTTTTGATGGAAAAGAACTCTACGTTGGCATTGGGGTCGGTTTTCTTGAGTGGAGGCGTAGGTTCAAAAGACAAGCGAGCAGTCAGCGAGCGGCTTCATTTAACCAGACGTCGTGAAAGTAGATCTTCTCAGCCACTGTCTCTCCGGAACAGCCGAGCGATACTACCATAAACAAGTCGAGCTCTGGTGGTCACAGCTCCCGACGCTGCAGAACATAATGGACCGGATGCAGGATGCTTTCAAGACGAACATAACGCCCGCGTAAGCGATGAAGCTGCTCACCGCTCCCAAGGATAATAGGCGGCGTTGGTCAGAACACTACATGCATGGTGGCGGTTTCAGAAGCCTGCGAGGGAGGGGCCGACTATCTAGTGCTAAATAACATTGAGCAGTACGCGTCTGGCGAGCTACGAACGGACTTGATGGCAAAGGTTGACGCCGGAAGGAGCGATTACCTCCAGCAAGCCGAAGCGTTGGCACACTCTGCTCAAGCGTGGGAGCCGCTAAGACACAGGAACCTTAGCAGATAGGTCGTTGGGGCAGTTGGCGAAAGGCGCGGAGGGAAAACACACACCTGCCATGAGTGTGGGCAAGTTGGTCATCTCCGAGCTGGATGTTCGGATCGTGCCCGAGGGCGAGGAGGAGATCCGGACCTCACGTTGGCAGTAAACGCGGGATCAGTAGAGTGTGTCGAGATGTGGATTTTAGCCAGCAGCTCGAGTAGACACCTGGTCAGTGACGAGTCCTGGCTGCAGGATGTAGAGAGCTCGGATGAATGCGTACATCCGAATGGTGCAGCCCTGGACGTGACTAAGAAAGGTTCCTTAACACTGAGAGTGATGATGAAGGGAGTCGAGCAGACCCTCAAACTCACGGAAGTATACTACATGTACGCCGAAGAGTGGTTTACAACTTGATCTCGTATGGAAAACTAGACGAGAAGGGTTTCACGCTCAAGTACGTCGGCGGATGCCGTGTGGTCGCTGCCAAGAGTGGTAAATGAGTGGCTTTCAACGTAGAACTAAGACGGAACGTACTCATGTTGTGCGGGTCAGTTGCGAGACAAGGCGACAGGACATCGGAAGTGATCATGGCAGCCTTAGCCGAGACGGGTGCTGATACGAGCGACGAGTCGCACGATGCCCAGCACGACTCTAGTGGAGTTCCATCGCAGACTCGGACACCTCAACTACGATGCGGCTGAACGACTTGCTCGTGACTTGTCCGCAGGAATTGTACTCACTGATCGCAGACGGGTGAACTGTTTGACCTGCGCCGAGGGAAAACAAACGAAGAACAAGCAAGCAACAAAGGACTCGGGTGAGCACGCTCCGATCGACCGAATTAAGGGTGCGATTTGTTCGGACCTGAAATCAACTATGACGCCAAAGGACAGATTGGGTAACAGGTACATGTGAGTTTCGTAGATCACAAAACGAATTACTGTGGTGTTTTCCCGCCGAAGACTAAGGACGTGGCCGCGAAGCAATTTGAAAACTTTCTCATTTTCTTCGAGAAACGTTTCGACTGCCGGATATACGTATTGCGTACTGATTTTGGCGTAGAACACGAAAACATAGACCTTTTTCTGCAAACGCACCGGAGTCGTTCGACAGCGAAGTGAAGCGCGCAATCAGGCCAGCAATGAGAAGGCTGGGCAAATGCACAGAACTATTATGAACAAGGCGAGATCAATGGTATTCGCTTGTAGGCTACCGCTAAGGTTTGGGGGAATGCGGTGCGCTATGTCGCCTACACGGAAGAAGAATTTTGCACAGAGAGCGCAACAAGGGATGTTTGTGGACATTGGAGAGGACACGAAGGGGTACAGATTGTACCTCCGAAGGATCGGATAGTGATAACCACGCAACATGTAAGAAGCATAGAAATGTTCAGCAAGAAACATAACGATAATGTGCAGTGTATTTACCTCGTAGAAGATTCGGACGAAGCCGAGAAAGAGTCGAAGACGAACGACCTTTCCGGTCCAGGCGGAAGAGATGCTGCATGTGCTTCGCGATCGAGGTCTCCAGCGGGGGATGGATCGAGTAGCGCGACGAGTCGCGGCGAAAGGTCACCTGCGGGTGGCAGGGTCTCCCCAGCTGCAGAGAGGAGTCAGGACCAGGAGAAGGAGCCGACTCTGGACGGTGAGCAAGCCGAGGACACTAACGGAGGTACCCGTCGACCTAAACGGCGCGGAAAGCGAAAGAAGTCATGGTCCAGAGAGAGACCAGTCATGCGGTCGGTCGGACGGAGTGGAGGAGGACCCACGAGCGAAGTTCTCACTCAGGAAGAGACGAGGAATGACGCGGTGAACAATGTCATGGAGCCGGACCCAAAGAGATATCGAGAGGCAGTACGAAGTAAGCAAAGCTGAACAGTGTCATGGAGCCCGACCAAAAGAGATATCGGGAGGCTGTACGAAGTAAGCAAAGTTTGGCGTGGCTCAAGGTCATTGTCGAAGAGCTACAAGCACTAGAACGAAGTGGTGTATGGAAGGTGGTACGCTTACCGCGAGGCGCTCACGCAATGCACGGGAAGTGGGTCTTTAAGACTAAAAGATGCAAAGGGGGCGATCGAGCGACTGAAGGCAAGTTTAGTGGCATGTGGTAATGAGCAAATCTTCGGAATCAGCTACAGCGTGACTTTCGCCGCAGTAATTGACATGCCGAGTGTGAAGTTGATCTTGGTACTCGCAAGAAAATGGGGAGTTCTGGCAAAGCATGGGGACGTGCCCAACGCTTATGTTAAAGCGGACAAGGAAGCCGACCTTGACATCTACATGCAGATTCCCCCAAGGAATGGCCGTGAGCAATCAAATGAGGAAGGAGCTAAAAGGGGGACGTGCTTGTCCTGGAGCTGAAGAAAACCTTATATGGTTTAAAACAGGCTGGTAGGCGGTGGAGTAAGCTCTTGTATGGAGAACTGAAGGAGAATGGTTTCGAACAAAGTTTTAACGGACATGTACGTATAAAACAGACACAACGGAGACAAGATACTCGTTGTGAGAAGGTACGTCGGCGATTTGCTTGACAGCGGTACGAAGAGCAAGGCAGTTGACGCCTTCTTCGACGAACCGGAGGACTTAGCGGTAAAATTGTTTTTAGCCAAGCTCATGAGTTTATGGGAATGAGGGTGGTGTACGACGAAGAAAATGGATACATGATCGATCAAGAAACGAGTATAGAGGACATGCTACGAGACCATGGACTGGAGAACGCGCACGTAGTGTGCGCGCCGATTGGATAAGAGTGCAACGAGCCTCCAGAAGGCAATGAGGAGATCTTACCCGTAGCAGGAACTGCTGGGACCGTGACCACGAGGAAATTCCAGAGTCTGGTTGGAAGTCTCCTGTGGGTGGCGCGATGTACAAGGCCAGACATCGTCTTTGCGGTGCATAAGACGTCGAGGCGCACACACGCACCAACCATAGCGGACTTGAAGTTAGCAAAGAGGGTGCTGAGGTACCTCGGTGGAATTAAGCAGTTTGCGTTTGAGAATGAGATGTGATGGTGCGAAATCTGGACCTGTTAGCGTTGTGGGGTATAGCGACGTAGATTTCGCAGCTGATAAGAGTGACAGAAAGTCGGTCACGGGAGGCATCGTGGAGGTGAACGGTATGGCTGTAAGTTGGTCTACGGGAAGTAGAACGGAGTCTCGTCGTCGACGATGGAAACAGGATACACGGCTGCCTTGGTCATGGCTAGAGAGATTCAGGGAGTCCGTAAACTACTGAAGGAGTTGAAGGTGGACCTGGCTGATCACATGTCTTTCAGAGTGGACAATCAAGCCGCTTTGAAGCAGCTAGACGGAGAGGGAGCTTCGTCGAAGGCTTATCATTTGGATGTGAGTACTAAGCTCGTTGGAGAGTATATGAAGGGAGGAATTCTCCGACCGGAGTATCGTGAGTCCAGATACATGCCGGTGGACATTCTGACGAAGGCGCTGCCAGCGCCAAGGCTACACGAATTGAGAGCGCAGGTGAGTTTGTGCTGAGGCAGAGTAAAAATAGGCTCAACGGATCGCACGGAGCGGCGGTACCGACGAGGAGAGGTGTTTGAAAGGAAGACGTCAGTGGGAAGCACATGGCGGTCACGTTTGCATTGGCACCTGCCACTTTGATCGTGAGTTCTGTCAGGCAGTGTGGTACATTTGTGGTACACAGGAAACGTGAGGCTGGGAGTTTATGACGGGGGTTTGGTAGAGATAAGCTGGGTTCTCACTCTATCTTTAGCACTAAACTACCTACTGCGTCAGACAGCCTATCGGCTTAACAGCCGTGTATTCAAAACTGCAGCATAGCGATGCTATGCGCCATGTCCTTGGGGTCATCATGTCTCCCAGAGCGCGGTCTGCTGCCAGCTTTTCTTTTTCTCTGCCATCTATAAAAGTCCACAAAAATAGACTTTAATTGTTTATTAGTATAGTCACACTACATTTGACAGTTTATTTTGACAGATGCAAAAATCGTGCTCAGCAACAGAATAAACTGATGGATGATTCAGCAAAACGATTTAGATTCTGACGAAACATGTATTTCATTCAGACAGGTTGATTAATAAGGCTGATTTACTATAGTGGCATCACAAATTTTGAATATTTGACAAAATCTTTTGAAAAAGATTGGTTTTGAGCTCATACTTTTAACTCAGTACCTGGTACAGTACAGTACAGTAGATGTGCTTTTTTACAGTAAGCTGGCATATTGGACACAAATTGAACCATTGAATTTCTCGTTTGTGTGGCTTCGATCTATGTGAAGGGTGTATTGGGCAGTATCTATCGTTTCCAATCTCGGCGATAGCTGTATATTACAGCCATTTAACCTTAAATCGGAGGATGCTGAGGCTGCCAATTTTTTAAAGCGAGGCTGGTCTGCTTTGCAGCACTATTTCGACTTACCGGTACCATGTTGGTATCTCGCGCGTGTCGTACTTTTGTGTATCCCGAGGCGATGTCATGTCGATCCACCTAATATTTTCCCCAAAGCGCTTACTCAACATGCACGGGCTTGCTCGTGTCTAGCTCGTTAAACTGGTAGATCTCCAGTGCCTGGTCAAGAAGGGGTCCCATGTAGGCCCCAAACTCGGCGTAGTAAGGGTTCGCCTGGTGGATCTTCAGGCTCTGCTCAAACAACAGCAAAAGCTGTAAAGTCAGTTTTTATTTTCACGCCACTGAATACTGGTAGCAGACGTACGCTCGCGCGCTCGTAGCGCTCCACGATAGTCCACTTGCGAGTGTCAACGTGGTCCTGCATGACATGCCAGCCGATAACCTCGGCGTCCTTCATATAGGTCTGAGAGGCCTCGACCAACTTGTTGTGAGTCTTTTCTTCGACATCCTTGCCCTCCTTGGCGTGCAGGTGAACTACGAGCGTGTAAATCATCTTGATTGAATTTGCGCACAGAACGAGGTTCTTGGCAGGCAAGCAAATGTTGAGATTTGGTCGACAGTTGAAGTCAAAGATAGCAGGACTGGGAGGATGTTTGGACCCAGGAGAGGGGTTTTACCTCCCAGACCCAGCGGTTACGAAACCTACGGGCTGCTCGGCCATGTATGCCTTCAATATCATTTCCTCATTTCCTCTCTTCATCACAAAAGGTTATCAGCCCAACTTCGCCAGGAAGCAACATTCGGTTACGAAAGATGTCGCGCCTCACCTGGAAGGAGTCGTGGAATTTTGACTCGCGTAAGCCTGATTTTACTGCATGGCAAATCCGCATCCAGACTCTGCTGGAAGCTGAAGGTGTCTGGGATATTGTATCTAAAGAACTACATTTCAGTGAGAGGTGGAGTCACCGCAGGCGTGAATCCTTTATTGCTAGAGACAAAAAGGCGCTTCATCTTCTCATCAGCTCTTTGGATGACCCAACCGTGAGAGCGTTGGGGAAGTACAAGAGGTCGTGGCTGGCGTATGATTACATGGAGCGTGTATATGCTGGAAAAGGTACTATCAACATCTTTCGAGCAAGAAAAGACTTTCAGAATCTTAAATACAACGACGGTGAAGACATGCAAGCTCATATCAATGCACTAGAAGACAAAGCAGAAGCACTTGCCAGGCTTCGCAGACCCGTTGATGACGAAGAAAAGGTGATGCAGATGCTCGGATCGCTACCGGACACCTGGAAGAACCTAGTGATGGTGTTTCAGAACGAAAAAGGATTGACGTGGGAAGACCTTCAAGCCAAGTTATTGCTGGAGTCGGACACCCGCAAAGACATCTAGGAAACAACGGACATTCAAGCGCACCTGACAGAAGGAAGCCAACAATTGCCGTTTCCAGCACCGAGTATGATCTCCAAGGCGATCGCACATTTTGGACAGGGACCACATCGTCGTTCCGGTGGTCGCCTGCCATTTCGCAGTCAACTGAAGCAGCCAAGTGGTCGCCCATACCAGCGAAACGAGACAGACAAAGAATGCCATTGTTGCGGAAAGCAAGGGCACATCATTCGCGACTGCCGCATGAAAGCAAGACACGACCATGAGCGCGGTGCTAATACACAGAAGCCTGCAGCCGCAAACATGATGGTCGCTACGGAAGAAGAAGAAGATTCACTGGACAGCTACGACGTTCTTGCAGTTGCTGTGGCGATGGATCATGTATACATTAAAAGCAGCATACAAGCTACAGCACTTCAAGCAGCCGTAGCCGCTAAGGATCCAACATTGTCTCGTGAATTATGGGTGCTAGACTCTGGGTGTACGCATCACATGTGCTACGACAAAAGTTACTTTACGGAGCTTAAAACAGTATCGCAGAGAGTTCATTTGGGAGACAACAATCACGTCGAAGTGGATGGTATTGGAAGAGTAGTGTTAGACTTCAAGGGTGAAGACGGAAGTAACGTGAAGCTGACGCTATCAAAATGTTTTTACCTGCCCAAATTATCAAGAAATCTGCTTAGTGTGCGCTGCCTCCGTGAGAAGGACGTCAAGTCAGACTTCAGCACGTACGTCGATCGAGCCATTATTCACAAAGGCAAAATGCGAAACAAGTCAGCTGAAAACCGGTTCAACAGACTCTACGTGTTTAAGACCAACTGCATCAATACACTCACTGAATCTGCTTACGTTAGAGTTGTAAATCAACCGATCAGTCTTTAACATTGTCGATGTGGGCACCTAGGTTACCAGAATAAAGCACATGGACTTCAAGTGGCAAAACGAGACTTAGTTGAGTTTCCTGTTTGTGACGTCTGCGAGCGATCAAACCAACAACGAGCGTCGTTTAAGTCAACCTACACAAAACATGCAACTTCACCAAATGAGCTGGTGTACACAGACATTAAAGGACCGATTGAAGTCTCAAAATTTGGAAACAAACGATACGTTCTCTTGGTTGTTGATGATTTTTCTGGGTTTGTGACGACGTATCTCCTTGAGACCAAGGCAGAAGCTCTTCGTCATTTTAAGCAATACGTGATATCTGCTGAAACAAAACACAATTGTCCAGTGCAAGCGGTGAACTCAGACAATGGTGGCGAGTTTACGTCTCCTGAGTGGGTAAAATTTTGTGAAGTCAAAGGTATTGCACGACGAACAACAACACCATATACCCCAGAGCAAAATGGTAGTGCCGAAGTGCGATTTCGTGTTCTTTTTCGAAAGGTTCGAGCTCTACTGATCGATTCACAGCTACCAAAGCAATTTTGGGGTGAAGCACTTCTGACAGCAACACTACTTGGCAACATTAGTCCTCTTAGACGAGCGGAAGTCACGCCGTATGAGCGATGGCACCTACGAGAACCTGATTACAGCAACTTGCGTGTATTTTGATCTCTAGCTTACACGTACGTATCGGCAACACATCCTAAGCGACTGGAACTGACAGCAACACCGGGTACCCGGAAGACTCTCGATAATCGCAGTGTTCGAGGGATTTTTGTCGGGTATGCAGACAACCGAAAAGCGTGGCGTGTATTGCATTGCGGTACTAATACAGTCGTAACTACCTGTCATGCTACGTTTGATGAATCTAACTCCTATGCTGCAATGGAACTAAAGCGACTGGAATTAGACAGACTTGCAAAACTGCATCATCTCGATCTCATTCAACCCTCCAAATTGGCCCAGTCGATTCCAGACTTAGTCTTCTACGCAGAACCTATCGAGGAGCTGAACAGCTATGACAAAGAGATTCAACAGCTTACCTCCTTTCTTGACGAGTTTTCTGTAGCTGAACTGCGTGACGAGCAGGGAAATCTACCGGATGTGAGCTGCTACGTGGGCCAACAGGTCAACAATAAAATCTCTATACTTGAGCTCCCTACTGCTGGATCTGAACCACAAGTGCTTACCATGTGCGCTGCCGATCGACTCTCTGAGAAGCAGAAGCAGGCAGAACTGATGGTGGCAACCGAAAATATAGCAAACAAGAATGAAAACAGCAAGATCAACAGCATGGCTACTAGTGTTGAGCCGAAGTCATACAATGAAGCAATGACTTGCAGCGAATCACTGCATTGGCGGAAGGCGATTGATAAAGAAGGTAGATCACTCATAGCTCACGACACATGGAAGCTGATAAAGCTACCAAAAGGGAAACGTGCGCTTACTTCGAAATGGATATTTAAGATCAAGTACGACGTTCAAGGCAATGTCGAACGCTACAAAGCAAGACTGGTCATTCGTGGATATGAGCAAGTTAAATATGTGGACTATGACGAAATATTTGCTCCTGTCATTAGACTGGAATCTCTTCGAATGCTACTCGCGTTAGTGGCAATCAACGACTGGGAATGCCATCAGACAGACGTGGATACCGCATTTCTAAACGGTGAAATGACTGAAGAAGTTTACATGCTACAGCCCGAAGGCCTTGTGGTCAAAGGAAAAGAGAACCTCGTGTGTCTACTGACAAAGTCACTTTATGGTCTAAAGCAAGCACCGCGAGCGTGGCACAAGAAGTTAACGGACTTCCTAAAGACAAAAGGCTATGTGAAACTCAATAGTGATGCATGCATTTACGTGCGTACAGGCGACCATGCCTTATCCATCATTGGCATTTACGTGGACGATTTACTCTTGATAGCAGACACGACAAGTGGAGTAGAAGCCATTAAAAGCATGTTAGCAGAAGCATTTAAATGCAAAGACATGGGTGAAGTGCATCACATCCTGGGGCTACGCGTGCAGCGAGATCGATCGTCGAAGACACTCAGCATCGATCAAACTTCCTACGCCAAGAGTGTCATTGAGCGGTTTAACCTGACACAGATGAACCCGTGCAAAACTCCCTGTGACCCAGGTACTGTACTCTCAAAAGAAAACAGTCCTAAGAATGATGACGAGCGTGAGCAAATGAAAGCCAAAGACTACCGAGGCCTCGTGGGCTCATTGATGTATTCGATGACGGGTAGCAGACCCGACATTGCGTTCGGAATTCAGTGTGTGAGCAAGTACTTGAATGATCCAGGCATGCCGCACTGGAATGCAGCAAAGCGAATACTACGCTACGTGAAAGGCACCATTGGATACGGACTTGTCATTGATGGAAGAAATCGTAATGGCCTGCAGCTAACAGCGTACGTTGACTCCGATTATGCAAAAGACACCGACACGCGGAGATCGGTATCTGGATACGTTATGCAAGTAGGAAATTGTGCAATTACGTACTCATGCAAAAGCCAACGGACTGTGGCGTTATCGTCTACCGAAGCCGAGTATATGGCACTGGCACACGGAGCTAAAGAGGTGATATTCTTACGAGAACTACTGGGTGAGTTGAACATGCCGCAAGACACCACGGTGGTATTTGTTGATAACCAGTCAGCTATCGCCATGGCCTTGAATCCTATTCACCACCAGCGTACCAAGCACATTGACACCAGATATCATTTTGTCTGCGAACGCATTGCACTGAAAGACTTGGAGATTGAATCCGTAAATACTAAGGAAAATGTGGCAGACTTACTAACAAAAGCTGTGACTACAGATGTACTTCAAACCTTACGTGGCCGTCTCGGTGTTCGTGAGACGCATCCCGAGGTAAAGTCTACGAGCCTTGGTAAGACAAAAAGAGACGGTAAGTATAACTAGCGACAGCATGCGGGGCTTTTTTTGGACAAGCTGGGCATGGGCTGGCTAAGCTTGAAAGCAACAGCGTGTGAGCTCTTTGACGAGTTTAATACGGCCTGGCTCGAGCGACAGCCCACGGGGTTCTAGGACGAGCTGGGTGTGGTCTGGCTCCAGGTCGAGCGACGGCACGCGGGGCTCTCGGACGAGCTGGGCGTGGTCTGGCTCAAGGCGCAGAACCGGCATGCGGAGGACTCAAAGCGAGTAGCCCATGGGCCGATTGCAGGTGATGACGACGGAGCCCGGAGTTTCTGAAAAACTGGTTGCTGGCCGGTCACGAGGATTACTGAGGGCGCCAACACAACCTCGTAAAACACTGTGACTTTTGCAATTACGGGGAAGCGGTCGACACAGTCACGGCACTGTAGACCACGGAGGAGTGTTGAGATTTGGTCGACAGTTGAAGTCAAAGATAGCAGGACTGGGAGGATGTTTGGACCCAGGAGAGGGGTTTTACCTCCCAGACCCAGCGGTTACGAAACCTACGGGCTGCTTGGCCATGTATGCCTTCAATATCACTTCCTCATTTCCACTCTTCATCACAAAAGCAAAAGCAAGATTGACGTAGTGAATGGTTGAATTGGGATCAGAAAGATGGTGATACACAACAATACTGTACCCGTACCGGTATCGCTTACAGCTAAACTGTAGCTCCGGTATTTAAAAAAAGGCTACCGGTACTTCAAAACGTCGGAGTGATATTAATAAAAGTAGTATTTAAAATGTCAAACACAGCCCAATGTTCCACGTGTCAGTTGACGCTCGTGAGCTTGCTGCGGATCTTCTCTTCAATATACTTGCCATCCTTGGCGTACAGATGACAAACAATTGTGTATACCATGTTGCTGTTTCTTGGAATCGGACGGTTGAATGTGGCTGTTTGATGTTTACGATAACGTTTTCTCGGTCACAACTTCAACAAAAGAAGTTCCGTACCGGTATTGATATTGGTACTTGAGGACTGAAGACTACCACTCTCAGTACTATATTAAGAAATGCCTGCAAGGATATTAGTTGCACCAGGGCTGGATTGTCAGCTCATGTACTACTGATACTCAAGCGAATGCAGGATTTTCTCTGAGAATTTTACAAAAACAACTCTGTCGGATTTTATGTGGCCTGAGAATTTTTGTAAATTAATGATGTGCTCGAATCTGACGATTGCGCTCAAATATGTTTTTTTAGTTTTATGCAGAAATAAAAACCCAGTTTTTTCCTGCACAACAAATACTACTGTAGTACAGTGTATTAATAGTAGTAGCTGCGGCCATGTCTGACTTACTTACTATCTGAGAGACTACATTGTACTAAACTTCTGCACCGGTGTGTCACAACAGTCTTTATTTTTCACATTTCTACTACTGTAGTGTGGGTACGGTACTACATCGATGAACCACAAACACGCCTCGTGCTTCAATACTTGGCGGTGAAGACGCTGCAGCCCGAACATCGCCTCAAAAGATTCCCAGAGCGTCTTGAAACGAGTCGTCAACTTGCACTCATCAAATGACGATCGACTAGTCACTGGCATTAGATCATTCAAGCGCTTACTCGACGTGCACGGGCTTGCTCGTGTCCAGCTCGTTGAAACGGCGCAGGTCCATCGGCTTGTCCAGCAGCGGGATGACGTACGGGTCAAATGTCTTCCAGTACGGGTTTTCCAGGTGGTACTTCTGACTGCTCTCATGCTCGTAACGCTCGACGATGCACCACTTGCGTGGATCCTGGTGGTCTTGCATCACGTGCCAGCAAATGGTCTCGATGTCCTTGGAATACACCTGCGAGGCTTCAATCAACTTGTTGCGCAGCTTCTCCTCGACCTCCTTGCCCTCCTTGGCGTAAAGATGAACGACGATGGTGTACACCATTGCGATAGTGGCCGGTTATGCTGGTGCCGGTTTGTGAATTTGACAGGGAAATAAGAAGTGCGGCAGGTGGGAGGGTTTGCTTCTTGTGTGCGGGATGTGTGGCTCCGCCCGCCTGCTGTTATTAATACACGTACAGTACTGCAGGGGGGGGGGAATTCTGCTTGGGTTTCAGCTTGGGATCCAAGCAGACACTGCTACGTCATTGAAGTAGCGACGAGCGAAGTGATACGCAAAGGTACAGTACATGTGCTGTACCATTATCAAGGATAGCAGATGATTGAGTTAACTGAGCTTCGTAGACCTCTCAAAAATGCATCCTGCCAAGGCTGATTGCTAGCAGTGCTG